TCTGTATGTACAAACATGCCTGTTAAAAATCCCCCCTGTGGGTCAATGAAACGTGTCAAATGCCTTGGCATTTCTCAGTGGGCGAGGATTGAGACTCAAGGGGTTGGGGGTATCAGCAGAGACCCCATCCTCAGCTTTCAGCAACAGTCCTCCAAGTGTCACACAAGGAGTTCATGAGCTGTAGGAGTGCCCCTCTCAGAGGTGCAGGTTAGACCCACTGCCACCCAGGAGAGCTCAAAGGACCTAATTCAGGAACACTCTTTATAGGGTTGTAAAATGATTTGCTTTAGCTGTCAGTAAGTTTCCATGCTGGGCACAACCCAGGTCAGTAATTATTGGAGTTTCCACAACTCCACCAACAATGGTACTGTTCCACTCAAGCTACAATTGAGGTAGAGAATGCCCCAAGGCTGTCAGGGATGAATGAACATCCCCATTCCCATCCTTCACCTCAGCTAGGTACCAGGAGTTCCTGGTATGGTCAGTGCTGCTTTCACTTTAGCCATGCAAGATTTTCCGGTGTGGTCAAGGGATGCTCCACTGCCCAACTCATGACACAAATGCCAAATTCCTAACAGCAATTCCAGCAAGCAAAAAGCAGTCCCAAGGGGCAGGGAAGGATGTACCACCACAACTGGGGAGCTCAGAAGTAGGCACTGTTCTCCAAGTGAAGCCTCACCCACGCTGAGCAGAGTCAGGAATGTTCCCACAGTGTTCTGGCAGTGTTCTGTATGAGAACACTCTGAGGAGAACTCATCATCACCACAGAGGAGCTCCATATTGTCTTCCCCCGTACTCCTTCTGGAGAATGTGGCATTTCCTCTACCAGTGTGACAGAGGCTTGACCATAAACAGAACTGAAAGAGCTGTGAAAGCCAACTGGGTCATAAAAATTTTGAATATCCTAGGCTTCATGGGCAGAAAAGAAGATAAGGCAAGCTTTGTGATCTTATTTCCTTGAATCTGTTTCATATTTCACTTTTATTTCCTGGGAAGGAGAGATACAGACAGAACACATTCATCTCTGTCAGGAACAAGTCCAGCCCTCACTAACATAATAGGAGAGGGCCAAGCCAGAACAAGCACTTTTCAGTGTAATTGCTTTGCCTCAGCAATTTCATTTTATCACAGCTGATGTAAGTGAAGGCGAGTGAAAGGGACCTGAGAGCACAGCTAAAAAACGACATAGCACACACAAAAGGCTTCAGCTTTCTCAAAGACAGATAGAGTCTGTCATCTTTATCTGACACTAATTGGGAGCTTTTTCATTATCACTGCCAAATTCTGCCCTTGGCTACTTGCCCATAAATCTTTCTGACATTTTTTAGTGGGAGCTGGAGGCAGATAATCTGAGGGCAGAATCTGATAGGGAGCTGGCAGAAGGACACGGGGGGGGCCCAAAGACTTCCCTTTGGAATTCTTCCCTTGCCCTGACTCAGGCACATCTGATAGCTGCAATGGCACCAGTGCAGGCTTTTCCCTGTGTCTGGGTTGAAAGGGAGTGCATGAGGTTTGGTAGTTTTGAGAGAGATTGGATTCAGCTTTAATTTAATTTTATTTGCTTGGCAACTTTTGGAGTTGGGCTGGAGAGAGGCTGCTCGCTGTCCCATTGTTTGCACTGGGATTGCAGTGGAGTTTGAAAGTGCTTACACTTTTGGAGAGCTTTACAACTACTTTCAAACACCTCATGCAAATCATATACTCAGGAAGGGACAGAGTGTAGCGATTCTGACCAAGAGGCCACTGTACTTCAAGCAGCTGGTGGGTCCACACAGAAGGTAACCTGGATGTCTATACAGGCTGAAACCAAAACTCTAAAGAGCAAACATGTCTGAAACAAACAACATCATATAATGGAAAAGGCTCATCAACTCAGGCAAAAAATGTGGATGCATGGACCAGAAAGGGGATTTTAAGGTTATTTTGAGCACAGGATGAGGTTTAGCCTTATTTTAGCACTTCTCTCTCTAGTAAAGATGCAAATGAATTCACAACCCTTAATTTCCACAGCAGAGCTAAAATGTTGCAACATGCAGAGAGGCACTTTTAAACTACCAGAAACCCAATAGGGAAATAGTAATATAATTAAATAAGAGCACTCCACTGTGCAAATGGGCTGGCCATAAATCCATCTTGTTTGGTTTCTGAGTGTCCACACAGTTAGTCACAGGTTTGCTTTAAAAGTTACGTGTCTAAACTGAAGCCTGCTAAATGGTGGAACAAATAGCAGTTAGGAGAAGGAGGCTCTGCTGTCCGCCCACATTTACATTTCTCCGTGCCTCACGGATTGATCTGCATACATACAAGTGCGGGTACTTGTCGGGGTGCGACACTGCTGGCTTGGTTCTTTTCCCCAGGACCGAGATTGATGAGAGAGAGACCTGTTTCCTCTTGTTCAGGCTCAGCTGTCTATTCTTTCTTATCTACATTACATATTTACAGAGTACAAGGAGCTATATACGCTAGGGTAACAAGGTGCAAAATGGCTGAAGAAGTATCTCTTCAAGGTATTTTAAGTGTGAAACCATCCAATAATGAACTGCCAAGTAACTTATTTCCATTACTAACCCTAAAACCCGACACCTGTGTCCTGCAATGTGGATTCTTTCATCCAATCCCCTAATATTACCCAAAAGCTCTAGAAGAAGGACAAGAAGAAGGAGAGAAGGATAACACCCCAAATCCTCTATGTTGTCACTTATTCATTAATATAACTTAAACTCTAAACTCTTTCTCACCCAGTGACTTAATATAATTCTATCTAATTTACACACTCATATTCTCAGTTCCTCTACTTAGTTCTAGAAGCTTTCTCCAGGGATTTAAGTTAAATTCAGCGTTCTCTTGAGAGCCAGAGCTTGTCAGCACAGATAAGGGAGTATTTCCTGTGCCTCTGACTCCAACAAGTACTGGCAATGGAAGGATAAGTGTCATGCTGGAAAGACAAGTAGCATTGGACAACATGCCATTGCTATTGTTTGGTCATCCCTAGTCATTTTCTGATTTCAATTTTGTGTTAAATGCCCGACTTCATACAGTGGCTTATATATTACAACAGGAATTGGGGGACAAATTATTACATTGATTGCATTACTTTGCTGTAATGCAAAGTTATGTTACTTTGTACAGAACAGGCTGGAGGGCAGAACCAGGTAAGGATATTATTATGTCTATGTGACTGCACTTCACAGGAAGCCCAAAGATGAATCAATGCCCTCTGGCAGGTTTTGTGTGAACACAAAAGACTGAAAAGATGATCCCTGCCTTCAAGTGCAATTTAGCTTCAAGGATATTTTTACCTGAGCTCAGCCTGGAGCAGCAGTGATAGAAGATTCATGCCAGGTGATGGAACTGGAGAGGTCTCAGTTCACATCCTGGCCCATTAGTACATAAATTATCATGACACTTCTTCTGGTTTCCACAGTGGGTTTATCATCCTATGTGAGACACTCAGAGGCCTGGAGAGATGTCCTCTGACAAGGACACGACAGATTCTGCAAAGCCAATATCACTAATCTCTTGGAAAGAAAACTCACATGCTGTACCGCCACCAGGGATACCTAAGAATCTTTGGGACTGTAGCAGGGCGAGGGGTAAAGGGAAAAGAATGGAAACACTTCACAAGAAGATGAGATTCTTGCTGCTGTGCAGGCTATCAGTCCCTGCCAGAGCCCATTAACGATTTTTTTCAGTCCTTGGTCCATCCCATTACAGATCTCAATGGAAGTGCTGTAAGTTTTGTATCAGCTCCTCCACAGAGACAGGGTGACTCCAGCCTTCCTGTAGGCAGCAGCAGAAGCGTAGGTCAGGAAATCATCATCCACGCCAGTTCACGTCATTTACAGTCTGTGCTGCCAGCTCCCTGATTTTCAGGTCAAAAGATGAGTAAAAAGCAGGGAGTGAGGTAAAACAATGTATTGCAGTAAAAGTGGAAGCTGGGAAGAGGCTAAAAATACTGTGGCAGATCTATGAAAAAAAGAGAAGAACTACAGAGCTGCTGTGGACTTGGGGGAGGCTTGTCCAGGGGTAGGGGTCCAGGATGCCACAGTGTGGATAATGTATAAGGAGGAAACAACAACAACAATGCCCTGAGATTATTATGATGGAAGTACAGGGAAAACCTGGTCTCCTATGAATATATTTTTTTGATTAGTTCAAAGACATTTTCTGTTGTACTAAATACAGAATATTAATGGAGTAAATACCTGTTGCCATTCACCCAGGCTCATTATGCACAGCTTTATTTTAAGAGTGCTTTTTGTCATCTAATAATTTGTGTTCCATTGTTAGATTGGGGCTTATGAAATAAAGGATGACCTTTTTTTCTGCACTCTAGGTCCTGTATTACAGTTTATTATTGAGAAAAATTGAAGATGCACTTGGTAAAGAAAACAGCCCAGACCAGACTCCAGAACAGACACTTTTTTCCTTCAGTGTCTTTAACTCAATCTTTTAATTTTCAAATCTTTCAGACCTAATTATATACTAATGCTACCAGCTTTAAGTTACAAATCTAAATCACTAACACTACAAGGATGACTGACAAATGTGTTCTGGAATGAGTTTCCTGCTTTTCCTTCTTCAAACTTATACACATTTGTCAGTGGGAGACAGAAGGGGGAAAAAAATCAAGCCAAAGTACGTTGTGTCACTGAAGATTGTCTTTCATGGAGACAAGAGCTACTCATATACAGAGTAAGTTTTAGTGATACATATGTATTTATACAGAACTAGCTAATAACTACAACTAGCTAATAGCTGTTGATTTTGGTTTTAATGAAAGGCATTCATTTTAATCTTTCCTTACTAGCATTAACAAAAATCAGCCCCAGTAAAGCATTGTTGCTGCTCTGGAAATCAGTTGCTCAAGATCTCATCCTGTTCCGCTTCAGGCTCAAACCCATTGTACATCAGTGTGTAACAGCTCACCGGAAAATCATGGATAAGGTATGGATGGCACATGAAGTATTGCAGGTCAGATTTGTACAAACCTCACTTACATGTTATGAAAGTGGAGTCCATTCCTTCTGGTGTAAATTTCCAGTATCTGTTTCAAAATTAATTAAGGATGTTACCATCATCTGGTGTAATGTCTTGGATGCCTTTCTGTATTCCCTAAAAACTGACTAATTTCTCATGCCTACAGAGTTCTGCCAGTGAGGACTCTTAGCTTCTAGTTGCAGGGGTCCCTAATCCATTCCTCAGCACTAGCCAAGCCCAGCTTTTCCCTGCTTCTCTTTCCTCTCTTAACAACCAATTTTTATACATATTTTTGAAATAAAATCATCTTATTTTGGATTTTGAGAACAGTGAGGTTTGACTCTTTTGTTTTCAGGTACATACTACTTTTGTAATGTTCACTTTAGCAGTGTGTAGTGAGAATTAGGCTGGCAGAGTTTTAATTTTGTGTCATCTTGCCACAAATGCCTGGCTCACGAACAGCAGCTCTGCAATCTTAAAGCAGCAGTAAACAGCATGTCGTGCAGTGGCTGCTTAAAACACTTACCTGGGGCTCAGTCCAAGCCATGTTTAAACCAAAAAAATCCATGCCAAAATTTAGAACGTGGGAGGTTAAGAGTCTTACTTTATTTTGACAATTCTTTGGCATTCTATTTTTTCTGCTGACTGCAGTTTATACACAGATGTTCTGGGAGGAATAAAACACAGAGAGAAGGTACACAGGCAGTGACAGTTCACTGTCTCTTCTGATACAAGAATCAGGTGGCAGCAGATGAAAATAGCAGGTGGTAAATAGCAGATCCAGAATGAATAGAAGCCCTCTTTAAATTTGGTTGAAGCTGTCTGACATAATCATGAGTTTGGGGGGAAGACTGACAGACAGACTGCATAAAAATAAATATGAAAAAAGGGACACAGCTCTCCCTTGAGAAACAAAGCATGCACTTAAAAGAAAACAATAGTTTTCTTAGCCCAGGCAAGGCATGCCTGTCTGGCAGGGAGAATTTATGCACAGCCATTGCCCCCTGAGGATGCCAAGGACCAGTGAGGAAGATGAGTCCCATCCAAAACCTTTACTGCCTTTGCCTGTGGGCTCTCTAGGGGCAGAGATCTGGCCAGGACGATGTCCCTGAGCCAGTTTATTATTTGCAGAGGGTGTGCTTGGAGCTAGGCTGAAGCAAAGAGCAGTGTGAGAGCACCCAGGTGCAGCTGGAAAATCAGATGCCGTGGCTTTTCCGCAGGGAGTCCATGTGACAGATGTGCTGACACCAACATGTTTTGTGTGACAGCAGGATGTGAAGAGGCTCACGCTTGGTTAAAGAAAAATGGGGGATGTCTGCATTTTTTTGTGATCTCAAAGTTGCTAATAAGCAGGAAAGCACTTATTGTGTCTCAGCATAGCTTAGCAGGGTGCACTCCTCAAGAAAATTAGAGGCCTTGACATTACCCTTCCCAGGTCTACACACCCACGGGCTGCTAATTACTGACAGTCTGCAAAAGGGTTGGCATAGAGAACACCTTCAAATTGCAAACAGGCACTTCCCATTACTGCCAGCACAGAAATCATCAGGATTCAGGCTACCCTGTGCTGTAAAGCTTTTCTGAAAGCTCATGCTGAATCTGTTCAACTTTTCCTGGATTTACAGCACTAACTTTTAGATGGTTTAGGACAATTTTTTATACATGGCTCATTTGCTCTGTTGCTCTGTGGACAATTTTTGAAAGATCCTGGAAACTTTTTCACACTTGTTGGAAACAACACGTATGGGGAACTTCACGGTTTAAACAGGAAGCTTTGCAAACACATCTTCTACCAGTTTGTTGTGGTACAATAAATAGTAAAGAATCTGAAAATATCAAAAGGGAAATAAAAAGCACCAGCAGCCAGCAGCTCAAGTGTTGCCATGCTAATACTTGTAAATTCTAAATAAATAAAACAATGGCTCTCATTTTAGCTAATCATTGTGCTAGCAATGCTCAATTAGTCTAATAAATTGCTAGCAAAACAACTCAAAGCATCCATGCAATGATGCCTTTGTCTCTCCCTCCCAGGCTTTTCACTTGCACAAATTTATTAAATTAAGACATAAAGCATGCATAATGATTCTTGGAAGGCAACTGCTGATTTGCATTGAAAAATCAAACAAATAAATATATTTTGTATTGATTCAGGGTTAAGAAAGGGCTGCAGTGTCATATTGGGTTGGATAGGCTGTATAATACAAAATTTAAAGACAGAATGGATTGAAGGAGCTGCCTGGACAATTGAGTCTATGAGTTAGGCTCAAGATGGACTCAATGAGGCTGTAGGGCCAGCTGAAGGATTGGGACTGTGCCACAGGACTGATTTCTGTGAATGCATGTGGGGGTTTATGAGCCTAAAAAACCCAAGGTAACAAGAGTAAGTTAAAGAGCACTGTTAAGGTTGGGAAGCCAAGCAAAGAGAATTCAGGATCTGCCAAGACTGATGTCATTGGCATATAATACGCCCCATGTCAGTCCCTCAGGATGTGTTCATACACCAGTTTCCCATAGGACCCTTACTAGACACACCATTTCAGACCTGAACAGGACTCACAGACACAGAGTAACTCTTCAGCCCTTGTTCTGTTACAGGAGGAGGATGAAGGACACTACTGTGGCCAGACCATGCTGGAGGCTTATCCCATCCTTCCTGCTGCTGTCCAGAAGTGCCAAGTGAGTCATACAACCTCACTTCTCAGTGACTATCACCAGCTGAGTGCTCCTCAGCTCAAGGTGCCTGGGACCTGATTTGCAGAAGTACCAAGCACTTTGGAAGACAAGCTAAATCAGGCAGAGCTGCACCAGGTGAACCAAGGGCAATTCTATCATTGATTTCAGCAGGGTCAAACTCAGAGCAGCTCCTCCATTTCTTTCCAAACCTGAATTTGAGCAGGAACCACAGAGGAATAAGGGAGGAATGGAAAGATGGGCACTGAAAAATACAGAATGTGCAATCGTCTCTCTCTGTACAAAGCCATCCTACCTAGCTGGGAAATGAAACCATCTGAGAATGCCTCAGCAGAGAGCCATGTGCAAAAAATCAAAATAATGGGATTCACCTGCCTTAACTTAGGTGTTTAAAAGACTGATGTTTGAGCCACTGTATAATCCCATAATAATGGAGAGAAACGTACCATATGGGGTTTGGTTTGGACTTGATTTAGTCTGGCTCCCCTAGACCAGCTATCCTACCTAGGGCAGCTATTCCCCCATAAGCACATTTCAAAATTGCTTGAAGGATTCATTTAGATCACTGTGCCTTTCTAGAGATAGAGGGACATTTGATGCATACCTGGAACAGAGGTTTTGGTTCAATTTCCTCTCGAAGGAATTCAGCTAAGCAGAACAACTTCTCCAAGAACTGAGCTGACAACAGACACAAGGATGAGATTTGCTTTAAAATTGCATCATTGCACAGATCCTAAATACTGCTGTGTATGCATCATATCAACTCAGACTCAGATATTTAATTTTCAGATAAGTGAATGTCGGGCTTAGTGACACAGATAATAAAACCCAATCATATTATTTTAACAAAATCAATCAAAACTATTTACATAGCTTCAATTATCACAGATCCTTTTGAAATGCTGTTTGTTCAACAGATCATAAAATTTGCAGAGAACAAAATGAAAACACAGAAATGGTATCTTTCACTAGAAATTAATCAGCTACAGGGGATTACTAGTCAAACTGCAGGCTATCATTATAGAGTAACTTTTCCTACAAACATTAAAAGCAAACTCCTAATTCAGAGACTTATAAATATCAGCATCTTAAGCGTGATTGGAAGGAAAGACTCTTGACTGAATACAGAGAACAGTCAAATACAGATGTGGTGCAATTTCTCTTTTTGTTTTCTTAGATGTAGTGGGAATATGCACAAATTAGTGTGACACTAAAGTCTCTTCCTTTATATTCACTGCAAATTCCCTGGGGAAATTCTGGCTTTGATCACAAAAGACCCCTTCATCATACTCAGCAGGGCCTAGATTTGTTCCTAAGCTTCCCGTTCTAAGAATTAATGTCTTTGGAACAGATTCCTTAAAACATTGCAGGACCTGTATCCTTTGAGCAGAAATAACTACAAACTCCCTGCTTAAGCTTTTCAATATGTCCATTAGTACAAAATATTTAACATCTTACATGGCTGCTCTTGCTTATGACAGCATGAGTGAGGACATGCAGAGCTTTTCCATTCTCATCAGACATATCAAAAAACACATGAGTTCTCAGATGCTTGTTCTGGTTACTTGGGTTATGCATTCCTGTGCTGATTCTTGAAGGGAAGGTGAATAGTGTACTGTAAAGCCAGAGGAAAGGGAAAATACATTTATGAGGGAAATTTATACTCAAGAAAAAAACAAATATTTTCCTGAAAAAATTGTTTTAGCTTTATTTACAGTTACTTCAATAGTAAATTTTGAATAAAATGATGGAACTGCATGGAGACAAGCACAACTTTTTCTTCCAACCACCAAACCATTAATGTAAGCAAAAAGGAAAATATTTTTAAATTGCCCCCTGTAATGTCGAACAATAATTGCAGATAATATAGACTTCTCAGATGTTTGGCTTGGTCACTTATGTGGCCCTGGGCTAAAGCTTGTAGAGAAGATGACTGTAAAGCCAGAATAAGTGGAAAAGACATCTGTTTATGAGTGAGAAGAAAGGAAACCCAAGTAGTGGACTACACAAAGGGCTCAAAGTGGCTCTGTGGAAGGCAGCTAAACCTCCAGTGGAAGCAGGAGAGCTCTGGCCAAGCTGGGAAAGGCAGTGGTTGGAGGTTCAGTGACTCACAACCATTTGGTTTGCTTTGAAAATGGCCCCATGATCAGATGTGTCCCATAACCATTGCATTGCATTGCCACTGTATCGGAACAGATTACTGGCCAGTAATAGCTGGCCATGGCCAGTGTTGCCTACACTCAGAGAACACTACCCTTGTTCTGTCTGGGGAAGAGGTCTCTGTCCTAGAAACCTTCCCAACAAAGCAGTGCTTAGCTGACATATCCAGGCAGGCAATCAAAAGCTACTGGGAAGAACCAGGGACGGTTATGTTATTCTAAGGAATATGATTAATTTTATACCCTGACAGAAGTTCATGCATTGAACAAACCCCAGCTGTCACATTTTATCAGCTATTTCTGCTCTCAAACAATGGTATTATTCCAACTCAGTTGCAGAGTGTGAATGTAAATCCTGAAGTGCTGAATTCATCTTCACGCATTTAATGAGAATACTCAGTCAGTGTTTTCCTATTGCATTTTATTTTTCTGTTTTTCTTTAATTTGTTTGTCCTTGGAACTTCAAAATGTCTATGAACATTCTCCTATAAACAGTTTCTAAGCGAACCCTGATGATTATTTCTGTCTGTCTTCCCAGCCATGTAGGCAGTAGATATCTTCAATCTAAAACCCTGAGCACTTGGAAGATTCCCCAATGCTTCTACTGGGATGTATAACATGGCACACTGGCGTTGTCCACTCACTGTGGTTAACACAGGCTCAGGTTCCTGGAGCATTTTGACATTTCATTTTTGCATACAGCGTTTTACATGAGCTGATGCCTTGGAGTGGCTACCTAGAACAGAGGCTAGACAAGATTAAGAGAATAAAGTGAGTATTTATTAAAGGCCTTCAATAGGTACACCTTGGGCAGTCAAAAGCCTCCGAAGAGGGGCTACACCCAAGATGGACAACGGTCATGAATTTTTTAGACAATTATAAGTTTGGTCTATTTACATATCAGGGATTAATCCTCCAATTACAGCTTCAGGTAATGAAATAATATACCCCCAGTTTGTTCCTCCCCTAATTCATTTTTGTTTATACTTTTCAGGCCCTGGGGCAGTAGGGTGTCCTTGAGTTACAGGCCTAGAAGAATTGTTTTATCTGAATAGACAGGGAGAACAGTAGATGACAAGCTATGGAGTTTTAGAGTTATACCCTAAAGCAGTACAGAATTTGAAAAATATAAAAGCTAAAATCCTAAGGCATCAGAGCCATCCAATGGTATAAAGCTTCTTGGAATGACAAATAGAAGGGAAATTTTGTAAATCCTGACAAATTCAATGTTTTGGTTTAGAGTGTGATTCAATATACAGCTCTGAACAGGAGTGGAGAAATGAAATATAGTACAGAGGGAAGAAGTCATGTGGTAATATGAGGAAGACCAGGAAAACTTCAAGATGCTACTGGTCAACAAGCCAGTGAAGCTAGAGATCCTTGCACAACTTCCTTAAATTCTCAGCTAGATCAGTTGGACTAAGGAAAGCAATATGGATGTGTTCTGCCAAGTCCAAAGCTTTTCACAAGCCTTTTTTTCAGAGCATAAAACAATTCAGACCCATGTTGCTGCTTTTAACTGTGAGCAGTTGAATCTGACCCTTTTTCCTCCAGCTCCCACAGTGGTGACTGCTTCTCTCCACCACACCAGCACAAGGACATTTTTCTTGGTTTGAAAAAAAGACAGGTGTCTGCTAAGGAAGGTAGAAGCCTCCCTTGAAATAAATAAAAATATAAACCACCCAACCCTCCTTCAAAATATCATAATCTTGAAATCAAGATGCTCTCATGCAAAGATATGGGAATAGGAACAACAGTTCTTTACTAAAGAAATTAAAATAAAAATGCAGTAGTACAAAAAAAAAGAAAACTGACAAAAAAACAACCCATGACAGAGTCAGAATACAACCTGGTGCTGTTGGTCAGTGTGTTGGTAGCAGTCTGATTAAATGATGGCTGCAGTCCTCATGCAGTGACAGATGTGGTTCTGTTGAAGCAGTGATCATGTAGAAGGGTGTAGTTCTCCTCTGAAGGTCCAGTGCTGGTGTAGATGAGTCTGGTCTTCCTCTGGGATCCAGTGGAGAAAGGCTGCCTGTGGTGTTCCAAGTCTCAGATTATATCCAGGTAGGAATGCTTGGCTCCTCCCCCTGGGCAGAACATTTCACAGTAAGATGATGTCATTTTATCCGTCATGCAGTGAGACTCAATGGCCCCTTAAAAGAAGATATCCCCCTGCAAGGAAGATGGGTCGTGGAAGAGGTAAAGAACACTGCCCCACCTGGTTTCAACACATGGTAACAGAATACATGCTTTTGGTTACATCTTGCATCACAATCCAAGACAAGCTGCTGACCCCAGAACAACTGTGCAAAGAAGCAGGACTGTCGCTCCGATTGGGAACGGCTTGAAGGAACGACCATGGACTCTCATGGGAGTCACGACACGAGAATTCCTAGTTTATTGCTTCAGCCCTGTCTTATAGACAGATACGTGGAAAAGTACAGAAAGGAAACTCTTATTGGTTAACAAAGTACTACACCACCATCATTGGTCAGGGGCACTCTGCCCCCCTTGACTGTCTCTTGCAAGGAGAAACAACAGGTTGCAAAACAACACCTGCAAGGCTGTTTAGTATCTCTGAGAATTGTTTTAATTCCTTCTCATGAATTTCCCAGGCTAGGCTTCAGTCAGGCCTGAGAGCTATGTGGCCTGCAATAACTACAGGCACTCTGGCTCAGATTTAGCATCCACAATTCACCTTTTTCGCTTAGGAAAAAAAAATAAAAATGTACTGTGTTTGTAATTTTCTGTTGGGCCCTTCAGAAAAGGAACAAACACAGCACAAGAGGTTTCTTTTACTAGAAATTGGAATGGATGCTGATTTAGAATTAATTTAGAATTTTGGTTTATGTTTTGGTATTTAGGATTTGTTTGCCTTGCAAGGATTTGATGGTTGAGTCTAATATTTCTAATTTAGTGAATTAATACACACACTATACAAAACTATATACAACATTGTTAGTCTGTTCGAATTGACAGTCTAACATGTCAATAGAGTAGTTTGAAAGAACACTAAAGTGATAAAAACAATGCACAATGCAATTTCTATGCAATTTGATCCTCTCTTCTTATTTTTTTTTTTTTTTTTTTTTTTTTTTTTTTTCCAAAGAATTGAGGGATTTTTGAGGGATTTATAAAGTTTTCATGGTTGCTGTTATTGTTCATCGGGTTTGAACAGTAGTTCATGAATTTCAGGAAGGTTTAGGGAATTTGAAGTTACCATCTCTTCACGGCTGTTTGTCAGTTCTGTAAACACAAAATTTAAAAGATACAAAGTGAGTTAGTTTTGGGTCCCGCAGGGACTGCAGGACTCTGGCACGGCTCAGGCCGCTGGAGTTGACAGACTTCGTCGAGGTATTTCTTTGGGTTGGTGCAGAAGGTCCTGGTGGAGGGCCTGCCGCTGTCTTTCTCTCCCCCCGCCACCTTTATGGGTGCGGGGGGGCCGCTGCTAGAGTTCAGATCGGGAGCGGAGCACGGCAAGCGCTCTCTCTCCCTCCCGCACCTCCCCGCTGGAGCGCGGGGGGACCGTGAGGGCGAGCTGTCCCGCGCACGCGCGGGGAGAGCGAGGTCGCCGGGCCTCCCCCCCCGCGCTTTCTCGCCGGTGCTTTGGACGCGCGGGGGGGGCGATGCTTGCCATGGGCCTGGCCCCGACTCCAGATTTGGGTTTGAGTTCGGGTTTTTCGGGGTTTTCGCGGCCGGCGGCGGCGGGCAGGCACAGGGGGAAAGCAAAGCTGCTGTTTTTCTTCTCCCCGCCGCTCCTCCGCCCACGGTCGGCCGGCGGCCGGCCGGACCCCGGCTGGTGGCGGCGGGCAGGCGCAGGGGGAACGCGGTTGCTGTTTCCTTTCTCCCCGCCGCGGCGGCGGTGGCCCGCCGCGCTCTGGAGCCGCGCTCGGCTTCTCCGGCGGCTGTGGCCCGCGCGCCGG